TCTGTTCACCAAGAAAGAAACTCAATACAAGGACAGAAAGGAGATGAACCTCTCTCTCTCTCTCTCTCTCTCTCTCTCTCTCTCTCTCTCTTTCTTTATGTGCCTGTTGGGAAGCACAGGTTCAAAGGAGAACCGCTCGTGTGGGTCTGGGAGTTTGAGTCCCTCTTCCCCACACACACTTTTATACGTGATAGCGCTGCCTCTGTCTCTCTAACACTCAACAATGCCATCAGAGCTTTCCACCCCCCAACTATTCTTGCTGTTTCCAAGCCAAGAAAAGGTGCCAAAAGAAAACAAGGAACATTTTTATGCATTTATCCCATCTTTTGCTGCCATTTTCTCTCTCTTGCTTCCTATGTATTATTACTTCAATTTGTACTGAGCTTTTAACCTTTCTCCTCTATCATATATACCTGAAATGATTTAAAGTTGTATTAGGCATTGTTTAGGTTACTCTTCTGGACTTTTGAGAATTGAACAACATAAATATATCTTTCAAGCAATCTATTTGGTGGTCACACTTGAATAGTTTATAGACTGCGATTCATGTAAACTTCTATTATTTTACATCTCATCCATCAAAAGGCATCATTCTGTCTGCTAAAATTTTGGCTAAATGGCTGCATCATCTCATGATGAATTATGATTTATTTGTATAAATACACTTTGAGTTTTAAGGTTTTATTAAGAGAAACATAGATGATATTTTACATGTTAGAGATGATTAAAAGAAAATATTATTCTAAATTTAAATCTTATATCAATTTTATTATATATTTTTTTAATTATTGATCTTTATGGATTTTTTTTATTTTTTTATTTTTTAAAAATTCTCCTTAGCTGACAACAAAACAATATGTGTAGCTGTAAAAGAGAAGAAAAGATTAAAGCATGTAAATACATGTCATCTAAAGAAATATGGAACTTCTAATTCCAAAGTCAGTCAAGTTTATTGTCACCAAAAACTGTGAGTTAAAGGATATCTCATCAACTATATATATGTAATCAGCCTTGTTTAGTCAAATATTCTTATCCTGTAGCTAATCAACCTTCACAATTATCTATTCATATGTTGTTGTTGTTGACAACCAAAGATCTACATACACTGTGAGGACAAGAATATATCCATAATACAATGCATTATGTTGTGGTTCAATCAGCCTAATATTCCACTTTTATTCTCTTCCACCACTTTAGTAGTTTGTTGGCTTCTGTGTGTGTATATATATATATCCATTGAATATCGAAAGCAATCAAACTCGAAGCAGTCACCTTTTGCTGAGTCAATTTTGAGTGGTTAAGTTAACCATAGTTAACCAAAACACACAACATTGTTCTCCACAAACCATGTTCAGGCTAAAGAACAGCCGACCTAGTTATACTAAACTTAACCTTCATTGACATGTCACAAATCAATGCTAGATTCCTTGGTCAAGCAAAAGCTAATCGGACATGGTGAAGAATCCAAAGTAAAAAACTCAAAAACTCCTTTGCAGGTAGCTCATAGAAATCATGTCTTTTAAAAGTGCTGGAAGAATATTTTCCTGCTCATCGTAGAGAAGGAAAAACAAGTGCACCCCAGTAGAAGAACACAGACACAGACACACCCAAGTGATGGATTGTCACATCACCCATCTTTTCTCAGCCAACACATCCTCCTTTTTTTTTCTTTGCTGTGATAAACTTCAACACACACAGTACTGCATCTGCATGACTAATTGACAGCCATTTGCAAGAAGAACAAAAAAGAAAAAGTCTTGCAGAAGAAGCTCAAGCTATCAAAGCTGGTTGCGATGAAAGAGATGAGTAGGTTTTCCATTAGGGTGATCATATTAATGAGATCTATGCATATGATAGAAGATAAGATTTTTTCAATTAAACGAGAAAATCTTTTTATTCTGTTGAGGAAAATTTTCTCATTCTATTGAGTAAAATCCTTCCTCCTAATCTGTATAAATAGTTGAGAAAACATATTAATGTATTGAAGCTTTTTCACTTCTTCAATAAAACTAAAGTTATAAAACTTCTTCTATAATAAAGCCATGGTTGGTAAGTGAATGCTTGCTTGTTGCCATGGTGGTGTACTGATGTGTATGTGTGTGCATAACACAAGCAAAACGAGCTCAATCTGTTGACTTCTCTTTTCGTTTGCCTAAGCTAAGCTAATCTACAAGCAATTGTTTATTCTCACCTTAATATTCTTTGCTAATTAGGAATTATTTACTATATGTATTTAGATATATAAAAAAAAACATCAAAATATTTGTTACCTACGATGAATATTTTCTATACATCATTAGTCGAACGATCATAAGATAATAGAAATCTTTGTGTAGACAAATAAATGCTCGGTCACCATCGAACACGTTGATAAATGGATTATTTTAGACCCCACACCTCACTTAGGATACTTTACGATCGACCACATTGTTTGTATGCTGACTGTCGAATTGGAAGGCTATTGCTGTCTCGTTGAGATATCATGGATGGCTTCCTACGTTGCTTGAAAGGTGCGCGCATGTTGTTGGAATATGCATGCATGCATGTCGACTTCTCATCTTCCTTTTTCTTCTTCTTTTTATATTTCCCACTAAATAATTCTATTTTTTTTTTCCCTACACCATCATATTTATCCGTTTATATTAAATCAAAATAGAAGAAAAAAAAAAAAAAGTAGAAGAGATGTGATGAGAAAACGATGGTTGGAAACGGTGATCGACACGGACTTTAAAACGGCACGGCCGGAAAACCGTAACGGGATCGTCTCCTCGAGGTTCTCCGCGTTTGGACGTTTCGTCGGTTTGCGGAGCGGCGGTGGCTGGAAACGCGGGGCGGCATCGTATCCGCC